GAAATAGAACATACTCGTTATGGTATTTAATGGACGAAACAGATTTCTTACCTAGATTCCCTTTTTTCTGTATTTTTTTTTTTTTTTTTTTTGGTGATAATGTAATTTACGTTATATGAATATTAATTTGCATAAATATACGCACTCTGGTTACGTACGGTGTATTAACGAAATGTACAAATGAGAAAATCTCCCTCTTGATATATCTGTTTTATGCATTTATCTTACTATTGGGGAAACAGTAGATTAGATAACAAGAATTGTTTCGGTTATGATATATGAACCAAGCGAGTAAATAATGAATTTAAATACTGTTGCGAAAATAAATGACGAACAACGAGAGAAATAACCTAAATAATGTTGATATGTTTCTTTTTTATATATTTGGTATCTGTACAAATATTTAAGTAAATAAGATAAGTGAGAATTGTATTTTTATTTGATAGAGAATTTGGCTCGATCATGGTATATCGAACGAAATGAGCAAATAAGAAATTTAAATAATATCGATATAGATATTCGTGTCAAGAAATGGACAGTTTGAAACGTTCGTAAATCATCTGCTCGCCATTAAGTTTATCGTCGACTCGGCACGTGGACTTTTCCAAATCGAACGCCAGCATTTGCGCGAGTACGTGTGCACAGCACACACATCACCTTGACACACTTGCGGAATTAAAGGGATGCGTGTACGGCAACGAATACGCGAGCTCGTTTATCATCCATCCTACCGGATGAAATATTTTCGCAATTATACAGAGGCATAACTGCATCTCATCCGAGATTTCGTTGCTTCAAATTATCCGATTGATATACCCACGATATGAAACGTCGTTTCTGTGAACTGATATCGTTCATCAAATTTCGCCTTACTACCAAAACTTTCGTCAACTATATTGAGAAGGAGAAATTTATTACAATTTACGTATATTAAATATCGATAAGATTAAACGTTAATTTTGATTTAATGAATGAATTAATTTTAAAAAATAAACGAAATAATTAATTTACGTAGTTTCATTAATGTAAATGGCGATATTAAAAATTCGCTATTAGCTGTTGTGAACAATCGGAATATAAGACATTGCTGTATTCTTAAATTAATTTTGTTTATACTACTATTGTATTAAATCCCTATTTTACTGCATTCCTATATTCTTAAATATCTACATTACTATGTTTCTATTAGAGTGTCTGAAAAGTTTCTCTCGTTTCACAAAGAAACAATAGATGCACAACATTTTTCGTTTTACATTATTTTGACCATTAGTTTTTTTATCCTACAATTTACATCGTATGATCCATTTTGTGTTACGTGCAGTATATTAATACGTGTAATAAAATATAATATAAAAATGTTTTGCATCTATTGTTTCCTTCTAACACGAAAGAAACTTTCCAGACAATCTAATATTACTCTTGAATCCCTATATTCCTAAATCGTCAAATTTCTAAATTCCAATATTTTTATATTTACCATATCCGTCTCTTGAAATTCGTATATTTCTAGATTTCTATATCTCTAAGTGTCTAAATTTCTACACTTCCATACCCTTAGATTCCTAAATTCCTGCATTTTCAAGTCCCTAGATCCCCACAACTCTGCACTTCTAAGTCCATGGATTCCCAAACGCGTGCATCTCTAAATCCCTAGATTCCTAAATTCCTACACTAGTAAGTTTCTATGTTTTTAAATTCCTAAATCGTCAAATTTCTAAATTCCAATATTTTTAGACTTGCCATATCCGTCTCTTGAAATTCGTACATTTCCAAATTCCTATATCTCTAAGTGTCTAAATTTCTACACTTCTATACCCCTAGATTCCTAAATTCCTGCATTTCCAAGTCCCTAGATCCCCAAAACCTTGCACTTCGAAGTCCATGGATTCCTAAATGCGTGCATCTTTAAATCCCTAGATTCTTAAATTCCTACATCCCCACATTGCTATACACGTCTCTATGTTTCTCTATCCCTGTATCCTGAAATCCCCAAATTTCTACATTTCCACGTTTCTACATTTCTGCGTTCTTGCATAACCAAATTCCTATATCCCCGAGTTTCTACATTCCTGTATTCTTCTATTCCCATATTTCTATATGCCTAGATCTCTCTAAATCCCTAAACTCGTACATTTTGAAATTCTTATATTCCTAAATTCTTCTACATTTCAAGTTTCTACGTTCGAAAAATGCATCGACGCGATAGTGGGATAATTCCATGGAAACACGAGCATCGAATCGTCATCGATATCGGTGTTTACGTGCTTAGGGCGAGTTTATCGTGGCGCTTATATCAAGGCCTGGCTGTGATCGACAGTCAGCTCCATTAATCAACGTAAACTCGATTAAGAGTCACGAAGCAACCCTCTTTCGACCCTCTGCGACCCTCCTGCTGGTCGAACCCCGAGGGCACGCTGCGTTTAGGGGTTGAAACCAACGGCCACAGCTGCTATAATTGAAATCTACGAATTTGCTGAGGTTTAAGTTGTATATAGGAAGGTTTAGAATATATCGGGTGAAATTGATCGAGAGATTACTCTTGGCACAGCAATTTTCAGTTCATCAGGATACCTAAAATTCACTAAAATTGTCCATCCCTTTATTTTTCTTTTTACTCAAGTTCTCCGATAGTCCGGAAATTCGTTTTTGCATAAATGTAGAAATTATTGATCGTAAACTAATTAAGGGACTATTTTTCGTCTAACGAGAATTTTATTCGGACAATACATCAGGATGTCCAAAAATTAGACGAAATTGTAGAAAATCTTTCTTTACTGATTTTTGGAAAAATCCTTTGATGATTAGAATACTAGTCTTACAGAGGTTTAGATCCTATTGGTTAAAATCAATCAGAAAGTTCTTTTCATTTTAGTAAGGAAGTTTGAGAGAAATGATAAAAATGTAGAATTTTTGTTTCATATTTTCAATCGAATTCAATTTGAAGTGTAAATGATCGATGATTAATATCGATATTATTGGAAGACGGACGAATAACGAACAAAGAAAGAAATTTCTTTCCATTTTATTTGCATTTTAAATCCTCATCACAATTTTTATTCGAAATGAGAATCGCTGATATGCGATAGCGAACGTCGTTATTATTTTACCAGAGGAATGATAGAACAGATACATAATAAGTAGGCAAAAGCATGCGAATATCGTTTCTGTTTCGAATCGAACTCGATTTGAAAGGATATAGGATAATGGACATTAGGTTATTCAAATGTTAGTAGGAAATTGTGTATTTCTAGGAATTGGTTAGAGGGAATCACGTACTTCCGTTTCCATTTCGCGAAATTATCAGAAAATAATCAACTGCGACCGGTTGGATCCGCATTGCGTTGGTTCATGAATGTGCATGAACTCGTACGTAATGAAACGTCGTTATTGATTACTGATAATCCAATCAACGGCATGTATTACTCCTCGGCATGTCGATTAAATGGTATTAATTAATCCAAAGATAGAAAGAGAAACCGAGATGATCTTAACGAACCCGGTTCTCCGGTTTCGAAATCTCTTGCTCTCTTCTAAAATATCTGCACGATAAACTTTTCAGTAAATAGAAAAATATCAAAACAACTTGTTTGATTATGCCAACTAAAACTTGCTCCAAGATAAATAAATAAGAAGAAAGGAAACGTAAAAAAAGAATTAGAAGACGGAATTAGGCGACTTCTCTGGAATATTCTCGAATATTTTCATTCTAGTTTTTCTTTGTAGTAAGAATGGAAAAATAATAAAATTGGACGTTTCTTCAACGTCAAAAAACGAAGGCAGACAGAAAATCAGAAATAGCTGTAGTTGAATAATTCCGTTTGCAGGAAAAATTGTGTAGAATTCTCGAGCAAAGGAAATCAAGACAAACGGTAGAAAACAAGGGAACGTTGAAGTTGGAATCGTATCATCTGATCTCGAAACAGTAGTCACGTCTCGTATGTTTCTGCCAGCGTTTCGTAAACAGAGGAGTTTGCTTCATCGGAGTTTGCCTGAATATTTGGCTAACGAGCGAGAGTATGTCAACGAAGTCTGATGAGGCAAACTGCGACGATCGTAGCCTGTCGACGAGGAAACGTGGCCATATTCCGGAAATCAATAACAGCGAAACAATTAAGAACGAGTTGAATAGCAAGCAACTGCGCGTCCTTTTCTCAATTTAAAATTGATTAAAAAAGAAAAAGATGTAATATAATTGCCCTTGTCGCTAACAATCTGATGCCACTTTAAATAAAATAAATAATAAGAGCAACGATTGCCCCTTTTATCTTCGTGTATTCTATCGTTGCAATTCTTGCACTCGACGTTCAAGGTTTTTTTTTTTAATTAAAGATAAAAATTATTACAAATAAAGTAGAATAATTTGAAGTATAATACGTTAGAGAAAAACATTTTTCCAAATAAAAAATATGTGCAAAAATATGCAATTCAAGGAAGATACAAACTGTTGCCAAAATACCGTAGAATTAAAAAAAAAGCAAAAGTTCTATGAGTTTTTTGAAACTCTTCAAAAACGCGAAATTCCAAAATGGAAAATTACATTACGCTGGTAGTTTCTACACCTATATATTCTTTTTTTTTTTTTAACATTCTATTAATCAATGTCTTTGTATTCCATGACTACGTGTTAGTTATTCTCTACGCTTGTGTTTCCACTCGCCATCAGAAGGCAACCTGACTACGAATTTACATTGTAAATTCAAACAAATTAGTTTTGACAATAAATCTTTCCAAAAAAACAATTATACATATTCTAATGACATTTTCCAACAAATAATTATCATTCTATTTTTATCATTGCTTACTTTATCCCAAAAACCAACTACTCGACTAATTTATGACAAAACAAAGAAGAAAGTAGAATTTTTACATCACATTCTCCTTCATATTATTTCCGTTTGATATTCAAAATATCATTTCCACGTTCTGTCAAACCATTCTCTGCTTTTTGCGACCGTTGCCACGCGACCATCACCTGGTCAAAAGAACACGATCCAACTCACCTTCCATCGTTATATTATCCCCGAGCTTCATTTCGGTGCTCAGTGTGCTCACTGTTCCGGATGGTCCCACGTTGTTCCAGCCGACTAGCCGTCAATCGAACCTTCCCAAATCGCTCGATGGAGACACGAGCGATTATTCTCTGGAAATGTCACTTTATCTCCCTCTCTCTCCCTTTTTCTCTCTATTTCTGTTGCCTGTAAATCGCAGGTATCCAATTACCAGGGATCTCTAGACAATCCCTTTTTTCCCTCCACGAGCTTTCTTCGTCCTCGTTAAGCGATCAACCAACGTGCCGACGATCGCACGCCTTTCCCACGTCATGGTCAACGTGTCGTTGCGAGATTAGACAATCGAATTATCAAAGATTTCGACAAGCTGCTGACACACGGACCAGTCGATGAGTCGCGAGTTCCCTCGGTCACCATCGATCGCGAGCCTTCCGCTTCTTGCAAGGTCATCGTACCTCCTTCGAAATGCAAAATCTTCGCTTTGATTCTGTCGATAGAGTCACGATGGATCTTTGATTCGGTTGTCGTGCAAGAACCAGAGCAGAGTTTACGGACACTCGGTGGAACTGTTCATTGTGGACCTGTGAAAGAAAGAAACGATGTTATATTATATTTATTACATAGAATGATATATATATATTATTATCTTATATTAAAATTAGTGATTGTTCTTCATTGGAAAGAAGAAATACGTATAGCAAGTGGAAAAAGTATTCTGACGTAGAATGGAGACCGTAAGCATGATCGTTCAATGTCGAGGTCACCTATTTCAGGCTTCTGCGTTTGAATCGGTTTTTTTTACAATTTGCTTTTCATCGTCGCGTTTAGTATTTTATCAGCAAGTATCTTAATATTTAGTAAATAAATACGTACACGAGTCTATCGGAAGATCAACTTTAGTTTCTCTTTGCAAGAAGATAGCAAATTTTGAAATACATTTATAGAATGTCCGAGTCTTAAGAAGGACACGTTTGCGTTCGTAAAAGTTAAGAAATGAAATTACAAAGTAAAATTTCAAATTTGAAAATGCAAGTTACTTTTTATTCGTGTTACGTATATAAAACAGATGAGTTAGATGGTTTCGATGAAAACAAGTTTCCCATCAGCTACAGTTAAAGTACACGAATAAACCATGTCCTCGACACACTTCAGAAAACTTCCTCAAAGGAAGAATATTAGTTTTATTTAAACATTAAGACAGCAGCAAGCCACTAAAATGCCTAGTCCAAATTGATATTCACAGGAGCGTTAAAACTTTGCATGTTTCGCGAGAAACGCGTTCCCGAAGAACACACGAGTTCCATAGAATTTTAATACTTCGCCTAGACTTTGTGTAGCGACAATAACGTTAAAGCAGTGCTTAAAAGATCATCTTGCAAACTTTCTTGCGTGCAATCGCGAATCTACCCATTTAAGGGTGCAAAGGCTTAAAAAAGTAGGGTAAATCTAACATTTCTTCTCGCCTACAAATATTTGCTAAAGGATCAACATTTTTATAGCAAATTTCCAACAACATTTGAACTCTGTATCACATAAAATTAGAAAATGACAGTGGTGAAAACAGATTATCCTCGATGTGGCATAAAACATTTTCATAGCTTGGAAAAATAAAGAAATGGCGGCTTGTCAAGGAAAGCATTTGATTTCACGCTGACGAAAAGCAACTTTAAACGTTTGAAAAAATTCAGAAGATAACGTTTAAAAATTTCAAGTTAATCCAATGGAGAGTTTCGAAGATCTACCCGGTGCAAGGTCGAAAAACATAGTTTCGAGAAAAACGTGTTTGAAGTTTTAAGTTAACCTTCCTCTAAAGTAAAAGAATGCGTTCGTATTCAGCGTTGGAACCTCGCCATTTTTCAAAATTTCAAAGTACCCTTTTACCACGGTATTCTAGATGTATACAGCTTTAAAAAGATATAAAAAGGATTTAGATTTCTTGAAGCAGATATGGTTACATGGCTTCTTAACTGAAAATTCCTAAATGTGGTAATATTCCCAGAGGAACTTTTGACAATATTTGCAGGAAAAGTTAGGATGACGATATTACGTGAACGTATACAAGTTCGTAAATAGTTTAAATTTATAAAAAAAACCCGATAGACATTCTATCAATGAAATCCATAGAATCCCGAGGTTCTTAGTCAATAAAGCTTCTATAACCAGAAGCTTCTATAACGTCATTTATGAAGGAAGAAAGGAAGAAATTGATCTCAGTTCCTTTTTATTTTTTTATATACAAAACATGTTTTCAAACTGCTACCAGTGCAATAAATGAGCTACTACGATGAAACGCTACTAAAAGTATCGATGAAAATAGGCCTGTGAAAGAAAGAAACGATGTTATATATATGCGTAAATAAATGAAACAAGACTTCCAAAAATCCGCCACAGTAAAATTTCATTTATCTGAATCGCGTTTGAATATAATTTACCTGATTTATCGTTTGATCCGAGTACAATTTATCTGGCAAACGAAACAGAACTAACTCAAAGACCACACGTCGAGCGTTCGTTAAAACTTTGCCCCAATAAACACGGCTCTGCCGTATTTTATTTAAAAAGCATAGAAAATTGAAAGCACCGTGTCTGAAAAAGCTTGAAGAATTTTAGATGAAAATTCATCTAAATTCGATGGAGGTCGTAGGTATTACGTTACACCGGCCTTTTATTCATTTCTCATCGATGAGTATCCAGGCAACTGGGCCACAGGAATCCAATGGACTCTCGGTTCGACCAAAAGGCACGGAACCATAATCCAGGCGCTTTGTTCCAAAGGAATTCCGGGAATTTAGTTCGTTCGTCGTGTATATCGAAGGGATAAGGTGAATCTGTCCAGGTTTACGTCACGCATCATGCACACACAATTTCTGATGCGTTAGATTGTGCGCACCGCGATGTGCATAATGTTGATTGACGAGGATCGATGCTACTATTAATAAAAGGGACTTGTAGACGCTTCATCATCGAAAGGAACTTCGTGATACTGCGTCAAATTCTAGTAATTTTCGTTTACCTACGAAACTTGTAAGAAACTCTTATAAATATTCTGCGTTTTATGCCAGAAGCCTAAAAATTCCATTGGCGATGTAACGAGACTCGACTATCGTGATTTTATTCGTAAAGCTTGAAAGAAATATGAAAATGTTTATGACAAACTACAGGATATATATTTGTTGTATATATTTGATAGAAATTAGAAAAATAATTAAACGGTCAATTATAAATTACATCAACAAACCTCAATATTCATCGAGGCTAATAGTATACAGGATTAGGGCTGGCTACTCATGTTGTATACTAATTTTATACTAAATATCTTGTAATTCCCGTACACGTGTTCAGATTGATTTCAAACTCGATCGATATAATCACGACAGTGTGTTTTTACAGCGAAAATGAAATTTCCAAATCTTCTGGGCAACACATACGACATGGACATAACACTTTTCTGTGATAAGCGTTCAAATAGAAATTAGACGCGATAGAAAAATTATGCGAAAAATTCTCAAACCCCAGGCACATTTCCTATAATTTTACTTATCCTTGCACATTCGTCATAATATCGCGCTAAGCATATGCACGACTACAACAATCATGAAATCATCACTCGACTGTAAGATCGCTGTAATTTTAGTTTCGTCAAAAGGAAGCAACTGTGATCAAACGCTTTTATCGTAAATTTTCTATTTATTTTCTGCGATACACGAAACGAGGCTTTCCTATAAAACAAGCCCATTTTTCATTTTCATTGATTGTTTGAAAGCCGCAAAAGCAGAAAAACCAGAGGCACAAAGTAACATTTACAGACTATATTTCCCTTTAGGAAATAAGGAAGAAGGGAAGAGCAACGTTTACGGTGATATTTTCAGTATTCTGTGTACATTTGAACGAACGAGGATCCGAAGCGCGTGTCGCGTAAAATTGGAAAGGCTTTTTCGAGTCGTTAAGTAAATCCTGATAAGCGGAACATCTAACGTGGCTCGTTAAAAGTGTTCCGCTGGTGTTCGAACGATGCTCATCGTTTATTATTTCCGGACGTGACTTCGCTTCCGCTATCGGTTCTCAATGAAAGCGGTTAGAAATATACATTTTGAACCGCTATCGCTTAACGATGATACACGTTTTGCCGTAAGTCGTTGAAGAAAATAAAATATTAAATAAATTTGTTACTTTCGGCGATCGATACTGCTACGTTCTTTGAATTTTTATGTCTCGATAATTCGTAATTTTTGTAAGAGGAATATCATTATTATTGAGAGAAATTTGTGTCGTTAAACGAACTTACAAGTTTCCAAAATGAATCCCGTTACTTTCTTTGAATTTTTATATCCGAATCTGTATCTCGTTTTAAAAAACAAAAAGATTTTTGATATTTCGAAACAAAACGAAAAATTACTTTATATTATTAACTTTATATTAACGTAATAATTATTTTATGTTTCCTTAAATATGAGATATTCGATAATGATAAAAAAAAAAAAATGATTCGAGAAACACAGAAGAGCGAAAAATTTGACAATAAATTTGTGTTGGAATTATTGGAACGAAAGATTTGTAAACTAATATTCTAACAACATTTCTAACATTTTATTCCATTCTTCCTGATGGAAAGAAAATTCCAGGGACTTTTCTTTAAATTCAACAATAATTCAGACATCAAATATACGGGGTAGTATTTCAATGAAATTCCTTACATTCTACTCTTCGTATTTATTTAATATCCCCAAAATTTGGGTATTTTCTTTTTATTAAAAAAAATCAGAATAAAGATTTGGAAGGTTTGGCAAACGACGAGCATTTCATTCTTTTTTCTCCCTTGTTTTGGAACATCCTTTGCAGAATGATAAATATGTTGAATTTTCAGCAGACGGTAAAAGCGCTGGAAAATTATGTGATTTTATATCCGACTCTAAAAAATGCTGCCGCAAACCGGCATACATCTCCGTATCGCATAAAATTCGTGGCTATCTTCGCTCGATATCTCCAATTTTTTGAGCCTTTATACATTGACCCAATTCCTGCTCAATACAATAAAAGCATGGTAACATAATAAAATAGTGTAATAAAAATATAAGCAGCACGAGTTAAAGAAAAGAAAAGAAAATAGCGATGGAATATAATATTCAAGATCTCATTAAAAAATCGCCAATTAACAGAAAAATTCATCGAAGCTGGCGCTATCGAAGCAGGTTCAAACTAACCCGGATTGGGTCGCGTTAATTGAGCCAATATTTATTTTTAATCGGCCCCGATAATACGAATCGTCCTACCCTGCAAATCCCTTTAGTGAAACTAACCAAACCTCGATTTCCGCAACACCAACTTTAAAAAATGTCAATCCCGCATAAAATATAGAACTTCGACAATAACTTTTATTTTATCCATACACAATCCTACGTTGAAGTTGAAGGAATAATGCAATTTTTAGATGCGTGTAGCAAGATTTTCGATCAGACCATCGGCTGATTATTCTACGGAAACGTTTAAAGAGATAGAAAAAAAACGAGTTATAGGTTTCACAAACGTCTGTTTCCAGGGGTTTTGCTGCCGAGGTTACGACGGTTAGTTGATGAAATTTTCA